GAATAGATTGCCGCCTCTTCGCCAAGGCACACCATGTGAAAATAATGGAATGGCTTACCCAATATGGTAGCCCCGGGTGTATATTATATAGAGAAGTGTTTAGAGTACATTAGGAAACATAATATAAAAGGAATCCTAATACAAGGAAACTACTGAATAATAATTACTCTATTACACCACATCCTATGATCAATCATATCCCTCGATATGCTTTATCCATCCAAGAAGAAGCTAGGGAAAAGAAACAAACAACGTTCGCTCAAGTTTGTTGTTGACTCGCACTGGTCGATCTGCTCAAATTCTATTCAATTCAATCTGTTTCACATAACTTGTTCATCGGATTTCAAGGTATTCTATTAGTTAATCACCGAGAAGAATTTGATTTTACGTTACACCTAAAATTTGATTTCATGTTATACCTAATACTGCAATATTAGATTTATTTTTTGAATTGGCTATACAAAGTTTTTTAATTCTACTGTTAGAAGACTGCTTGTGGAGTGAAATAAAATTTTATTTGATTTTTGTTTTCTTCAGTAGCAACTGCTTCAGTAGCCAGAATTGATTTTTTGGATGTGTTCTGCTAACTTTATTAAGTTCTTCATGTTATCAGGACCTAATTGATTACTAATTTCTGGTTCAAGATCCTAAAATTCATTAGTATGAGGGGACTGGCTGAAAATCCAAGTATTTGCAGCAATTGAAATGTGGACTTTTGGATTAATGGCCTGGATCACTTCATACTCCTTGAATATGTTCAACACTTCTATGGCAGGAATGGAATTCACATATATTCTCTTTAGTGTGCTTTGAAGCCTTTTGTTATCAGTTGTATTTGTCTTGTGAGATGCCTTCTTATTTCTTCTATTTTGCATTAATCCTAGTGAAATATACTTGCATACCATTTTGTATAAAATATACACACAAATACACAACACTTTTGGAATCACTGGTACACTGCCATTGCTCTTTTACCTTAGAGAGAAAAATAAGAAGTAAGTTCGTAATTTATGCAATTGTGGGTTCTTTTATCTTATGGGATACTTGTGTATTGTCCTCCCATATATCTTTGATGTTCATAACATTAGCTCATTAAAATCATTTTAGGAATAAGATTGGTGTGGATTTCTCCACTATATTCTTGGTTTCATCTCTCCTTAGTGTTCCAAATTAAGATGGTTAACTTTAATATTTTCCATCTCTCTATATTGGAAATGAGGACTCCTATCATTTTTTTTAATTTTGCAGTTTCTCAAGCCTGTCATACCAAATAATAGTTGTTCTTATTCACTTTTTTTGTTGGTTATGTCCTTGTTCCTCTGATGTGGAGTATGAGTCATTTAGAAACGACCTAAAAACGGTGATATACAAGTATGCCTTCTTAACGTTATTCTGCATTTATTTTATAAATAGCACAAGATTATTTATAGTTATAGATCAAGAGTCCATCTGCTATACTGTCTTCATAGTTACTGTATTACCATTGCAGGTGCAGAAAAATGCACTAAGATGATAAAAAGATTTGAAGGATGAACGTAGAAAATGAAGACAGGAGTGTTAAACCTAATGAACTGTGTGTTGTGATGCATATAAGAGAAGAAAAAATGACATGAAGCATATCCGAATAATGCACAGTGTAATAGATAGATGTAAACATTGAAATATTAGATTGAGTTATTTAGCCGTGATACTCTTATATATTGTTGTTTTTTGTTGCTTTTTGTTGCATTTACATGTGATTTTTTGTTGCATGTTGTTGCTTTTTGTTGAATCATATTTCATTTTGTTGCGCTATATTGCTTTTGTTACTGATTTTACACTTATTTTTATTTTTGTTGGGTTGTTTATTGTTTTTGTATATTTACTTTTGTATTTAACAACTTTATGTACATGTATGTATGCATGTCAGTTTGTGTATACGCACATGCCTAATATTAAAATTGTTGTTCTAAAAAAAATAAACAATAAGAAACATGATTAAATAGTGAAAACACAAAGAAACAAAGTAAAACAAAAATAATAACAATACAATAAAAGTAAAAATAAATGTCTCACGATTAAAATATTAAACAAAACTTATATTTTTATATATTTTCAACATATCTTTCTACATTCTTTACTATCTAAAAAGTTATTTTTTTTTTGTTTTCATTTCTTTTATTTTCAAATTTTTATACACGTATTTTAGCTACATCTCTCTAATTTTTAAATTTAAAAATATTTTGCATTCATAGTTATGATGAATTTTCTAAATTTTAATTTTCTTATTTTTTTCATTTTTCATTTTTTTTTGAAAATCTGGTGTATACTATCGTACTTGTTAGTATTATTGTTATTTTTCAGTTTTTAGTTCTTGATTTTTAAGATTTTTTCCTTTTAAACAATTTTAATTATTTTGATGGTTTTTTAATAATTCAAAATTTAATTATTATTTTTTATTTATTTAATGTTATTTCATTTTATAAATCTATTGTTTAATAGTTTTTTAGATTCAGAAAATGTCCAATTTACACATATCCTTTATATCTTTATATCACTTACTTCTGAGTGCAAAGAACGTAGTGCTTATAATTGTTGTTTTTTCTTAAAATTGTTAATAATTTTTTTATTTTTGATCCGATTTTTATAAAATTTATATCAAAATTTTTTATTTTTCATGATCTTTCAAATGAGACCAATATTGACTATGTAATTTTAATTTTTTACATTCATACATTTTTTGTAATATATTTTTATATGCATACACTTTTTCTATAATATATTTTTTATCACTTTTATATGTTTTTAGAGGTTTTTAAGATATTGAGTTTGTTTATTTTGCTTCTAGCTTGGAGTTACATTTGATAATATACGAAGTTACATCATCTTATACTTCAGTTACAAGTTATTATGTGTGAGTTACATCTTGTTATGTGTGAGTTACATCTTGCTATACACGAGTTACATACTTTTATGCGCGAGTTACATGTAATTATGTATGAGTTACGTCTTGTTATGTGTGAGTTACATCTTGTTATACACGAGTTACATACTTTTATGCGCGAGTTGCATGTAATTATGTGTGAGTTATATCTAATTATTTGTGATTTTTTACTTATCTTTATCTTGAACTAATTCAATTATAACTGAATTAATTTTTTTCTTTGCCAATTTAATACAAAATTTTATTAATCCACATAAAATAAGTATATTGTATTTCATATTCATACACTATTTTTCAAATGATAAAAATGAAAGATGCAGCAGGGGTTTATTTTATGGTGTAACTTACATACATTAAGATGTAACTCGCGTGTATTAAGATGTAACTCGCGTACAATAAGATGTAACTCGCGCAGAAGAAGATGTAACTTCATGATATATTATCAAATGTAACTTCAAAATAATTTGTTAAAATTACATAAGCAATATTGGTCTCATTTGATAGATCATGAAAAATAAAAAAAAAATTGATATATAATTTATAAAAAACGGATATCAAATAAAAAAGTTATTACAATTTTTAACAATAAAAGAAATAAAAAATAATGGATGTTGCGTCGTTTTGGGATCGGGCGCACCATCCTCATGGTGCGCCGATCTTAGGATATAAATTGCGCAAAGAACGGTACTAGTATACTCCGTATGTCCGTAGTGGGGCTTTACCAATTATCGGCTTTGCCAAAAAAAGGATGACACTCCATCCCTGAGAACCCCCCAACCCCGACCGGACATTACGTTGGGAGGATGTAAATTGCACTATAATCCCAATTGGACAGATAGAGACTGGAGCTCTGTCCCCGGTACTTGCAGAGTTGCAGAGGCCCTATGCATTTTTAGCATTAGGGATGGACTAAACCGGGCCGGCCCAACCCGGAACCGGCCCAACCCGGAACCGGCCCGACCCGTTATTGTTTGGGCCCGGACCGGACCGTGACCGGTTGCCCGGTTCCGGAATTTTAGCCCGTTTGGGCGGGTCGGGTGGGCCGGGCTCGACCCCAACTTTTGGTGAACCAGCCCAGGCGGTTCAGGCCAGGCCCGATTCATTTTTTTTCATTTTTTTTTTTTGCTTTTCTAGGTTAGGGTTGGGTGTTTGGGGGGGTTTGGGGGGGGGGGGGTGGGGGTGAAGGGGGGGGGGGGTCGAGTGTTAATTAGAAACCCAAAAAAAATTGAACTTGACCCGAGCCCGACCCGGACCCGGTATCAACCCGGGCCAGTTCCGAGCCCAACATTTTGCAAAAAAAGCCCGCCCGAGCTCGGCCCGGAACCAGACCGGCCCGGGTCCAATTCTATTTAGCACAGTAACCCCTCATCGCAGTTGCCGAGATTCGAACCCGTGACCTAATCCTTGTGGCACTCCCTTGCTACCAGTTGAGCTACGCCCATCGGCTTTGCTAATCATGAGTGAGGTGGTGTTACCGTTGTAGAGTTTAGGTCTATTTTTGAGAAGAAATTGTTAACTAGGTTATTTTTGAAAATAATATTCAAAAGTGAAAAAAGTGATACTCCCTCAGTCCCATAATTTACTTCCAACTTTCCCTTTTCATATGTCCCAAAAAGAACTTCTCTTTCACTTTTAGGCAAAGAATTTGTGGTTCACAATAATTCTTACACATTCTTACACATTTCTTCCTCCTCTGCACAACTCTCCACCACACAATTCCCACTTTCTTAATCCGTGTGTCATTTGTATTTTGTACTATGAAAGTAAATTCTAGTATGGATGGAGGGAGTACTATTTTCAGTTTTTGGCCTCTTTGTGAAAAAACTCCTATATTATTTCATTTCTACGTTTGAAGTTTTGAACAAAATTATTCAAATTTAATTAAATAGTTTTGTTTTCCCACATTTTAGTACGAGTTAGTTTCACAAACTAGGGCTCACATAGGCGAGCAGGCCGGCAGGCCACATCCACCGTTGGCAATTGGCATGGGTTCTGCTGTTCTGGACTTCTATGTAATGCCAGTTGAGCCAAATACCCAAAATTAAATTAATAACTGAATTTGTTTGTAACGATGAGGCAAAATTGTCTTTTTTATCTCATAAGTATAAAATTTTAGATACTATTTCCGGAATTGATTTCATCGCAACTTATGCACATGTGGCTCAAGAAACTGAACGTAGATTCCATTTTCGGGACCTCTTGGTGGCTCCTCCCCTTCTAATTTCAAGTGTAAATAATAAACATGAGTACTTGAGTAGGTATCTATTTCTCTGCATGTCTTCACTCTATATACCCAAAATACAATAAAATAGAATAAAACAAAACAAAATAAATATAAAAGTTACAAGCTTGCAGCTCTTGACGCAACCTCATAGCCACCATCCATGTGGATCATGTCTCCCTTTAGCTGTTGTTGTTCGCTCTTTTCCTGAAAATGAATATATTACATTGCTCATGATATGCAGCCAACCAAGCTCTATTTGGGGGGAGGGGGGTGTACGACAGAGTTGAGACTCATTTTGTAATATGGAGTATCGAATAGAAATGATGCACTCCACAACCAAGGGTCTCTTGTATCCAGCCCTACACTTAGGAGGGATGCAAACCAGGTAGCCCGAGTTTTTACAGTCATTATTCTGGCTGACCGCTTGAGCTATCCCTGGGGAAATGTTTGGAATTATACAATAAAACGTACTGCTCTATAAGTTGATTCCATTGCTGAAGAAAAACTCTCCAATCCAGAATCACCACGAATAATTTTGGCTCCAGCTACAGGGGTGTCAGCTGATCCAACTGCCTCTTCATCAACCAAGACCATATCAGCACAATTTCCTGGTTTGGCATCTGGTACCTGTCAACAAAGAAAATCATCTCCCACTTAGGGTTTGTTTGGATGAGAGTGTTTTGGGCTTAGGTGATCCCTTCACTTTTATTGTCTTTTTCGCTTATTACTTATTCTTATGCCAATCAGATCATAATAGACACCAAAAACATTCAAACCAAACCAAATCACAAATATTTGAACAAGGCACGACAGATGCAGACCTGACTATCCAATCAGACAGCAGGATATACTTAAAAAAAATAGAATGGATTTGAATCATTGATACCAGACCAGACAGATTCATGCCAAACCAGATATTAATAATTCAAATCAAGACACGTTTTTCCAAGTGAAGAGAACATGTCCTCAGTCTCTATTTTGTTTTAAACAGGGATTAGTCAGTTTCAAGGTTCTTCATATTAATCAAAACATATTACAATCCCCATCAAAGCAAGCTAAGATTTACTAGGTAGAAGCTAACTGAGGTAAGGACTTCAGATTTTCAGGTATTTCGATCAGTAGATATCTATAATGACTTCTTCAAATATAAATTCAGATTGTCAGGAATTTCGAGTAGTAGATATGTGTAATGACTTCTTCAAACATAAAGTTGCACGGACTTGTGGAAGCTCATTCGTACCTCAAACATCGCTTCGGTCAGGATACTTTCTAGGATGGATCTTAAACCACGTGCACCAGTGTTTTTTACTATCGCTTTTGATGCAATCTTTTTCAACGCATTATCAGTAAAATGAAGCTTGACCTGTAAAACACGGAATCCCAGTTCTTTCAATAAAATATCAACTTTTCTGTATTTCGCCCAAGGGGAAACATATCTCTCATTTCTGGGAAAAGAGAGACCCATAACTGAAATGCAATGTGGTCTTTAAATATGTGGCATCTGTCAACAGCTTACATTATTCAACTCAAACATTCTCTTGTACTGTTTGCAGAGAGCATTTTTAGGCCCCGTAAGAACCTGCAACCAAGAATATTATTCATCCCCTCCTAAAGAGAGACAAAAGGAAAAAGTGAGCAGCCTAGATGCTTGGTTATGATAATCTTTCTTCTACTTTTAACCCTTCTTTCTCTTCCCTACTTCAGATATCATCGTCATCATCATCATCATTACCCCAATGCCACAAAGGCTTTCACCTACGGTGGGGTAAAGGGGGTCAGATGTACGCAGCCTTACCCCTGTACTAAAGCACAGAGAAGTTGTTTCCAGATGACCCATAGCGAAAATCGCGTCGGAAATTACATGGACTGACTGCTACTTCATAACAAAGAAGTGGAAACAGTTTAGTGAGCCATTTTGCTTTATTCCATCATATTCCCTAGTACAAATGTCAAGCTGCAAAAATATTCTCCCTCCACCCCACAAAGATAGTCCACTACCTTTTGCCCAAAGTTTAAGAAATGATTGTTAAATCAGTTGGAAGAAGTAATTTTATATGCAATTCCCATCATTACTCTTTATAGAGCTGACAATTTCCTGTGCGGGATTCAACTTTAGCGTAGATGACCAGGTAGGTTTAAATTTATAAATGAAACATTAAATGCACACCCGATAAAGAAATTGAACAGCATTTGTGGGATGAAGGGAGAGTTGAACAAACATAGATGACTCCAACTATGGGAATAGGAAGGCTTTTCCACAATCATCCTTAAAATGCCTTCTATGTTCCAAACAGTCCATTTGATCTTGTATCTATCAGCAAGAGTACTCACTCTCTCAATTGTTTTATAGCCTATTCATGTGATTTTGTGGTTGTGAAGGATGATAGGGACCTAGACAATACTAGCAATAAGAATAATAGTCAGTATTTGATATTGTACAATAAGTGGTTTCTAGGCCCAATAGCTTAGTAACTAAGGCTGGCCCATTTAGGAGATGAGTATAATAAGAGCAGGAAGGGGGAAAAGAGAGGCAGGCAGAAATTGGATCTGGAATTAGGCCTTGGGAGTGTTGAGACGACTCGAACTGTCTCAAACTTTTCTTCTCTTCTATTTTCTGTTTTCAGCTACTGTACGTGGGTTTACTGTTATGCGCCGTTGTACTGAGAGGATCGGTTCCTCAGATCTTATCAATTGAACACTGAATTTCTGCTGCTTTGTTGAGCTGCTCATCATTGGTATTAGAGCAGTCGACCCAGGGAAGCTTCGATCGACAGTCACGTGATAAAAAAAATGGAGCACAGAGAACATCGACGGTCAGAGAGGAAGGTGGCCGCCTCTGGTTTGTGCGCGAACCTGGAGAAGCGTTCGAACTTGGAGAAGGAGAAGCTCATGCAACATCGAAGATCTGATCAGGATGCTTCGCGCGGGAAACTGGAAAAGCACTCAAACAGGGAGAACCACTCGAACCTGGAGAAGTGCTTGAACAAGGAGAAGCGCTCTAAGAGCAAGGAAGAGGTAGAAAGTTACTGAAAGAAAAAGTGGAGGATCTGGTTGGACGAGTTTCACCGAGCTGCGTAAACAACGTCGCAGGCGAGGTTGATCAAGGACAGTTTGCCTATGTCAGAATTCTGCAAGCAATGTATCACCATCATCCCTAGCTGCTCCTCACTTAGAGTCATCGATCGATTCCCAGTTATCTTCGTTAGAAGATTCTACCAGTCCGCAGGTATCGTCGGTAGTCGATGCCTTCAGTTCGCAAGTTTCCTCATTCGCAGATGCTGTCCCTATCAGTTCGCGGAGTGTGACATGATCAGGAGGAGACTCCAAATCACTGCAACATCCATATGAGAGCCCTAGCACGACGCGAGACAGAGGAGAAACCTTCAGTTCGCAGGCTACATCGTATGAGGAGGATATACCCATTAACAGAAATCATATCCACCCATACAGAGGAGAAACCTTCAGTTCGCAGTCTACACGAATCTGATCAATTACAGAAATCATATCCATATGAGTACCCAATATTTGAGTGTTGATATTGGACACGAATCTGTCCAATTTCACGATTACATGATTGGCAGCAGCTCTGGCTCTGAGGAAACAAGATTTCACTTGATCACTGAAACAAAAAATGAAGTTTCCCTTCCTCCAAGTGGTGCTGGTCTCTCTAGCTCAAGATCTCCGGACAGCTCTCTTTCTGTTAAGGCACCTTTGGGTATTAATCAAAGCACGGGGAACCCGGAAGGTGGAACCACATATGAAAGTGGGGAAGTATTTACTTTGTTCTGGATAAGAGATGGACACATTATTTTAATGGATAACAGCACCGGTAGTATGATCAGGTTTCCACCAGTGCATTCAGAGAAAGATACAGCTCATTCTGTATTTTCCAAGGTGTTTACTGTACTTCTAAAGCTGTGGAGTTCTCACCATACACCTATTGAGTATGGAGTTGGAGGTGTGCAACCCATGAACTACCAGTTAACGTCCAAACACCTCTTATTAAAAGAAGAGGATTTACAGAAGCAGAAAAAAGGTGCCGCTAAGGACATGCAAGATTTATATGATGTGATGCACCGGGATGTCCTACAGGTGAAAATGAGTGAGCATCATGAAACAGGGACGGAGTTGTTCAAAGATAAGAAGGAAGATAGTTTATTTCAGAAGTTGAAATGACCAAGAGATGTGGAGTTGAAAGCTCTCATGCTTCAAGCTTATTTAGAAAGGGTAGCTACTGGAGATTATGAAGCTACGATTTCAAGGAGTTTGGCAAAGGATTTCCTCTCTCTCGGTTTCATTCCTGAAGGAGTTAATTTAAAATCAGTTGCAGACGCCCTGCAAACATCAATTGGTGATGGCAGAAGACAATCCCAGGATTTCCAGTTTATAATGAATCAGTTATATGTGGTTATGTATGAGTTCAACTGCTCTCTTCATCCTGACTATGCCTTGGTGATACGAGCTCTATTAGAAGGAACTGCAAAAGTTTTGGATCCTGATTTCAAATTGGTAGAAAGTGCATACTCATGTGTTATTGGAAGGCTTTTATCAGACTCCAGTGCTGACATAAGGAGAATATTGAGAGAACTTGTTGTCCGTAATCAAGGATCACTCAGGTGGAACCAGCTCGAAAGACTGGTGACAACCATATCCATACAGATAACTGAGGAAGATGGAGTAACACAGCATACAGACTCAAATCCACTTGAGCCTTCTTTTGATATGCGTGCAGATGAGGTTCTGTATGAGTTGTTCAGGGAGGAGCATCCTTCAAGGGATAGGTTGAAAGCTGAGAGACATACAATATTGTTGGAGGACAAGGGCTCTCAATCTAAGGGACTAGCAGTGACACTACTGAACCTCATGGTGCAGCAAGCAGGGAGGTACTGGGAAGGAAGAGGCGCAAGGATGAGGACGAAGCGGTTGGTCAGGGCTGTTTCCTATCTCCCACCTTGAGGACAAGGTGGTTGTCAAAGGGGGGGTGATAATAGGGACCTAGACAATACAAGTAATAAGAATAACAGTCAGTATTTGATATTGTACAATAAGTGGTTTCTAGGCCCAGTAACTTAGTAACTAAGGCTGGCCCATTTATGATAGGGACCTCAACAACGCAGCAGAAATTTAGAATTATATTGATGAAAATCTCAGAAGACAGTAAGCTATTACAATGGTAGAAACCAGAGATCAACGTAAACTGAAAATAGAAGGTTTGAGACACTTCGAGTAGTCTCCCACTCCCAGCCTAATTCCAGATCCAAGTTTTGCCTAACTTCATTCTTTCCCTCCTTCCCACTCTTATAGTACTTATATTCTAACGAGCCAGCCCATATTTCATGACATAGCCCAGAATTCTGATTTATACAATACCATACTTATTTAATATCAACCTATAACTACTATTATTATTCTCTACAGCCCAGGGCCCTATCAATTAGGAGATGAGTATAATAAGAGCAGGAAGGGGGGAAAGAGAGGCAGGCAGAAATTGGATCTGGAATTAGGCCTTGGGAGTGTTGAGACGACTCGAACTGTCTCAAACTTTTCTTTTCTTCTATTTTCTGTTTTCCGCTACTGTACGTGGGTTCACTGTTATGCGCCATTGTACTGGGAGGATCGGTTCCTCAGATTTTATCAATTGAACACTGAATTTCTGGTGCTTTGTTGAGGTACTTATCAAAGGACTGTGTTACGGGAAAGTGATTGGTGTCGAGCATTAATCTCATGGCATGTATTATTTTCATCCTCTTAATTTTGTTGCTTGTCTGGCGTTTGAGCCAACTATTACCTTATATAAGGCATAAGCATAACCGGCTAAACGCTTAGGTCATCCAAGGCTCTCAAAACTCCAAAGAATGGTTCCTCGTTCATCTTGTCTTCCCTCCTTAGATTGTGAGATGTGTCATCTCAACAAAGAACCCCGTCAGTCTTACCCACGTAGAGTCAATAATAGAGCCACATCCCTATTTGATTTAGTTCATAGTGATGTTAGGGGTCTATATAGAGTCAAATCTAACCTAGGTTTTTGTTAATTTGTTATATTCATAGATGAGATTATTCCCGCTACACATGGTTATTCGTAATAAAAGAACGATTTGATTTACTCCAAACAAATATTCCAAAAAAATTGTTCGTAAAACCAACAATAATACCTAAAAATTTATTTCGACACCATATATTCAATTTGGGGCTTCTCGATGGATGCTCCACCTGTCTTTTGGTGTTCACACACCACAATAAAATGATGTTGTTGAACGTAAGAATCGTCATTTGGTTGATACCGCTCTCACTCTGCTATTAGATTCTCATACACCATTTTAGTTTTGGGCCGATGTTATTCTCCTAATGTACCACCTAACCAACAGAATGCCTTCATCGGAAATTAATAACGATGCCTTCATTAGGTGTTGTCGTCGTTAATTTAGGTAATAGGCGAGAAGGAGGTTTTCGTCTATTTCTGTTGTTGTGTTGGATACCGAGCGCATAATTGGACAGCAGGACGTGTAGGTAGTTGAAGATGGCTACAATGGATTTTGGTGCATAATTATCAAGGACCGGTCCTAGAGGAGGAGAACGAAG